TTAAACCTAACGAAAAATATCGAAAAAATCGATTAATCGATCTATCGAACTTTTTTTTTTTTTGGTTGGTGTAGTTTGTGGTAGCCTTGTTTCTTTCACCGTCATTAAAAAAAAAAACTTTCATTTGATCGTAAAAAAAAAACAACAACAACCGACAACAAACGAGACAACACTTTCTTTTTTTTTTTTCTTCTTTTGTCTTGACCTGGGCTAATGTAATTTTAATTTTTTTGTATTCGATTTTGAAAAAAAAAAACAATGGCGGATTATTTCCCTTTTAATAATAATAATAATGATAAATAACGCTTTGAGTAAATTAAACAAGAAGAAAAAGAAGAAGAAAAAATCGAAAGTTTTTCTTTGTTAAAAAAAAATTATGTTTGTAACGTTTTTCGTTTGTTTTTTCCATTTTTTTTTTTTGGAATGGACATAAAAAAATTTGAGTTTGTGTGGGTGGATGGTTAAAAATTTTAGGTTTGATGACATGTACAAAAAAAAGATTTCAGGTATTTTGCCCAACGATAAAAAAGAAAGAAAAAAAGAATCGGACGAGACAGAGAACCGGAGGAGAAGAAGAAGGAAAAAAAAAAAATGTTTGTTGTTTGTTGTACGTTCCCGTTGGATTTTTAAACTCTTAAAGAAAGTTAAAATTGATTTTATTTTAAAAACACAAAGACTTTTAAAAATATCGTGGGAGAAAGCCTCCGGGTTTAAATTTCCAGCATGTGTGCCAGATTGTCCAGATTGAAAACGATGAGAGAAAGAGAGAGAGAGAGAGAGAGAGAGAGGGAGAGGGAGAGAGCAAATGGTATACACGATAACTTGAAAAATAAAAAAAAAAATTTTTTTTTTTCAACCTGTACACAAGGGTTTCGTTTCAATGTTTTTTTCACATGCGATAAACATAAGAATTTTTTTTTTCCCGTCTGCGTCCACGTCGGATTTTTAAAATAATACACGATTTTCTCCTGATGAAAAATGCAAAAGTAAAAAAATATTAAAATTATTTTACTTCGATTGTCGTTTCGTTCGTCAAACTTGCCTCTTTCTTTTTTCTTCTTCTTTTTCTTTTTCTTCTTCCACGTTTTTATTTAAAAAAAAAAATAAATAAATAAATAAGAATCGGAATCGATCCCAGGAGGTGTTTAAAAAAAAAAAAAAAAAACTTTGGTAAATGCATCTCGAACGAAGAAAAAAAAATTTACAAAAAAAAAAAAAAAAAAAAAAAAACGACGTGTAAATAGACGCATAATTTTTTTTTTTTTTTTTTAAACGGATATACCGTGGAAAGAAAAATACATAAATATATATATTTTTTTTTACGATCCAACAACGCGTTTATGGTGAATAAGAAAAAGAAAAAGAAAAAAATTTTTTTTTCAAACGCCGTGATAATTGGATGGTTCGATGCATAAATTTTAATTTTTTTTTTTTTTTTTTATTATTGAATGAGTTTGAAATGATTAAGTTCAAGGGGGGTCAAAGGTTCAGCAGGTTCCATCATTCAAGGTACGAAAAAAAAAATAGAAAAAAAAAAAAAATTGTTAGCAGTGGAAAGAAAGAAAAAAACGACGAGACGAGTCCGAAGATGATTTCATTCCATCGTCTGGTCCAAAAAAAAAAAAAAAAATTTCTCATTATCGTTTTTTTTTTTTTTTTTCCATGAGAAAAATTTATTATTATTATTATCATCATCATTATTATTATTATTCGTTGTTTAAACATATTCAAAACGTCATTTCCGTTTTATTAATCGGCCATTTTTATACACATATATACATAGTTAAAAATTATTTTTCCACGTTTTTTTTTTTTTTTTTTTTTAAATAATTTAAAATAAAAATTAATAAGGAATACTCGTTTGTTGTTGTTTGTTGTTGTTGTTGTTTGTCGTCGTCGTAAGAATTTCATTGTTGATTTTCTTCTGCTTTATTATTACGTAATTATTATGTTAAAACGTTTGAGGTGTAATTATGCCCGAAGGAAGGATTCTAACCTCATTATATCAACTTTAAAATTTAGTTAATGCAGGTTAGCCACCATAATCATTTTTTTTTTCTATGTTTCAAATCACGATCGGTTAGATTGAAAAAAAAACAGGTAGTGGCAGGAGTAGTAGTGGCAATAGTAGTAGGTAGTTATTTGGGGTGCGGAAAAAAGTAGTTAATTGAAACTTTGAATCTTTTTTTTCTCTTTTCTTCTCTCGTCTTTTCTCGTATGGTTTTTTTTTTATCCTTTTCGAAATCTGTATAAAAAGTCTAATTCCACTGCTGCAGCGAAACCCTCCTCCGTTTCCCCCTCTCTCCCTCTCATCCTTTCGAAAGTTTCAGGTTCGAAAAAGTTAAAAATGTAATATTTGTGAAAAGAATAAAAAAGATTTTTTTTAAAAAAAAAAAAAAAACTAATTGTAAAAAAAAAAATAAAAAAGTTTAGTTTTCTAGTCCCACGCCTTGACCACACAGAAAAATTTTTTGTCTTTTTTTTTTTTTTTCTTCGATCACGATTTTAGCAGTTTGTCTCTGGAAAATTATCAACTCGTGCAAGTAGAAAAAAAAAAAACTTTTTTTTTTTTTTTTTTTTTTTTTACGTGTATGCAATTTTAACAATTTTTTTTTTTTTTTTTTTTAAATTCGTATCAACTCTAATGCCACGTTTTTATGTAATCGTTTTGATAATGCAAGTTTAAAAAAAGAAAGAAAAAAAAGAAAAAACGTAACGTAATTTAGTCATTAACGCTAACAGTAAAAAAATTACCGAGGGGGGCGGCGGCAACGACGGTAACGGAAATGATTTCCGTCGGAATTTTGGTGAAGGGGGAGGGGAAGAGGGGGTGCAAAAACACATCAAACCGAATTAATTTATTAATTTAAATATTTTAATAAGCGTATACGTAAGGTACAGGTTCGGATTTAAATAATAATAATAATAAATTCGAAAAAATTATTTTTATTTTTAATTTTTGTGCAAAGTCATCCCGATGTGTAAGTATCTCGTTAAGGGATCCACAAATATGGTTCCCTCGCCCCCCATTTAAATATTTAAAAATTATTTTAAGCTCTTCCGCTTTTGAAAAGAAAAAAAGGAAAGAAAAAGTGAATTCAAAGGAATCGATCGGGTTATTTTTATGTCGTGGTAGGAAAAAAAATAAAAAAAAAATATTTAAGAGTCGTGTTTGAATGTATAAATACACGTTTAAATTTCAGGTGGTCGTTTCCTGACTATCTGGCAACATCGCATATCCAGATTGAATTTCTTCAGGTAGTAAACACACACACACACATATTCTTCTTCTTCTTCTTCGAATCCTTTATTTAAACAAAGGTCATCATCATGTGCAAAGGAATCGTTTTCAATTTTTTATTTATTTATTTATTCTCAAATCCTTTTTTCCTTTCTTTCTTTCTTTCTCTATTATTATTATTAGTACCATCATCATCATTATTATTATCGTTGAGAGAGACAAAGGAAAATATCCCCTAGGAATGGATGAATTATTTATCCGATAATGATGATGATGATTAAAAATTTTTTGTTTAAATCTTGTAAGAATTTATTATTATTATTATTATTATTATTATTATTATTATTATTATTTGTTCAATTATCGTTTTAAATATCCGTTTTTTTTTCTTTTAAATAAAGAAAAAATGGCTTTAAGTAATAATAATAATAATGATAATGATAATAATTATTTTTATTGAATTAATTTCGTGGTTTTTTTTTTACGTAACGTAAGTTAATTAATTTTTTTTTTTTTACCACCACCCCTAGGCGTTCGAAAGAGAAAGACAGAGAGAGAAAGAGAGAGTTTTGTAAAATAATAATAATAATAATAATAATAATAATAATAATAATAATAATAACTAATAAATTATTTATTTATTAAAAAAATAAGGAGTAGAAAGGAGTTGCGTTGTAAAATTTTTGCAAATTTACTACTCAATTGTTTTTGTCGAAAAAAACAAATGACGATGAATTTTATTTTTGTTATTATTATTATTATTATTATTATTATTATTAGATTTTTCCAGAAAATTAATTCCAGACTTATCACATTAGATTTTTCCAAAAAAGGAAATATCAAACAAGGAGTCCGTAGGTCAACTTGAATTTATCGTTAACCAAATAAAAGCAAAACATGTCGATTGAGTTTATGAAATGAAATTGAATTGGGTTGTGCAACCGGAATTTTCCAGACTTCATTAAAAATCTCAGTTTAAAAAAAATTAAAATTCCCGAATTTTCCCTCCGGGAGAAAATTCCGGGCGCGTTATTACAAAATTTAAAATTTGCAAAAATATCAAAACCCTTGAATTTTTTTTAGTTAACGGTAAAAATATTTAAAGAGTAACAAAACGATTTCTCGATCGAAAAAAATATTTCTGGAATTTCCTTCTCCAGATGACTATCCCGATTCTCCAGGGATTTCTTCTTTTTTTTTTTTTTTAAATTTAAAACTTGTTCCCGTGACGAAATTTCTTCTTTTTTTTTGTTTTGTTTTGCCTAAAAATTTCTCTTCTTTCGTCTGTAGCGATTGTTGTTGTTGTGATTATTGTCGTCATCGTCGTCTTACGACTTCCAGACCGACTTTAAACCGTAATCATTATCATTATTATTATCATTATTATTATTAATGATTCGATAGGATTTTTAAAAAAAAATTCTTTAAGGTCGTTGATACTAAATTAATTATGTGTCTACCGGGAGGCAGGATTAGGCTTAACGAGAGGTTTTATCAGGTTTCGATAGATTTAAAAAGAGAAAAAAAATTAAAACAGAGATCACGTGACCAATAAATAACAATAATAATAATAATATTTAAATTAAAAAAATTTTTTTTTTTTTTTTTAAATTCGCCGTAAGTTAAACGCGTTCGAATTTGTAAAATTCATTTCGAAAAATGAAAAATTAATTTCCAATTCGGGAAATTGATTGATTGATTTTTATCATTATTATTAAAAAAAAATGGCGTCCAAAATTAATTCGGGTTTAAATATATATTAAAAATCTAACAACAATTGAACGGAAGACTGTTTTTCTTTTTCAACTATTTTTTTTTCTAAAATTTTTTTATCATCATCCTCCGACACGGATTCCCGTAGGAACGATTCCGATAATTGTGCTAAAAGATCGTTAAACATTTTACCGTTCATGTTTCCGGCGAGATATTTCAAAAATAACCATTCTCCATAGCTGACGTTGTGTAAAACGGTCGTCAAATGTAATTTGTTCAATTTCGAAAAGGCGGTGAATTTAAATACGTAGTCGTTAAACGAAACTGAATTTTTCATGAAAAACGATACGATCCGCCATATTAATACGAAAACCTGGAAGAAAAATCCGTTGTTATCATCATCATTATTAATTATCGTTACGATTGATTTTATAGAAGACTCACGGAAAGGATGAAGAGTATCAAATACCAAAACCATAAAACAATAAAAATTTTTTCATTGACTATGTTCAAAGCCATTATGCACATAATGTCGTGGAATTGTACGGAACCGGAAGGACCGAATTTTTGAAAAGAACATTTTGTCACTTTTGGAAAAATCACATCGAGAGGATTGAATTCGTCATTTTTTACATCCCAATAAATTTGTTTTCCCAAATTCCAAAATTTATAACCTAAAAATCTTTATAAAAAAATTTGAAATTTTTTTTGAAAATTTTTCATTTAAAAAAAAAAAATAAAACAAAATGGCGTCCGTTTACTCACACGTTTGTTAAATATATTTGTAATATTAAATTTATTAAATTTAATAATTCGCAAAAAATCAAATAACCAGACCACGATCTGTTTACGTATAATCTATTTTTCAATTGATTTTGAATCTTGAAACAAACAAAAAAAAACAATAAAAATAAAAATTATTAGAAAATTTGGTGGGAGGGAGGTTTTAGAAGTACAAATCTTACATCCCTACCCTTTCTATCCTCTATCTTCAACCCCCTCACTTCCTAAACCTCATCGTGAATAACCCTTCAAAATTATTTTTTTTTTCATTCGTTTGTGGGGGTTTGTTATTGTCAATTTGCATTCATGTACTAACCCAAAATGTCACCGAGTTGAGAGTCATGGGTTCAAATCCTGGGAGTGGGAGTTTAATTTAAGGTCGTCCGAACAATGGGATGAGTGATCTAGTACCCTTTCGAGGCATTGGGGATGCGTCGAACCTTGTTCGAGGGTCTGAAACTGGGTACTTGATCCAAATGGGAAAATTACGGAGCTACGTGAGATGTGAAAGAAAGAGAGATGATAGATTAACGGGATTTGCGATCCCAGTCATCCCTCTCCCTCTCCGGAAACTTTCAAACTCTGCGGAATAAGCAGGAACGATGGTAACAGATCGGGTAATTGTCTCTCGAAGGGTAAAAAGAAGAAGTAGCGGGATCTTTCTCAGGTGGAGTTCCTCCCATCGCAAGTGTGAACCTGATAGTTCTGGTTCAGGAGGGGGTTGAGGATGAAATGAGAGTTAAAATCCTTCCAGGAAAACACGTCCAGGAGTTTTAGTCAAGTATCGGTTTCGGCCAAGTCTCACACCCTCCTTGCTACCGGTGGGGAGGTAGGGAGGTTTAGCAAAAAAAAGAGATGAAAACGATTGACTCACGATATGAAAATTTTTTTTTTTTTCTTCCACATTCAACATTTTAATTTCATTTAATCCCAAAATTAATTTTTTCATAATCCCTTTTTCCATTTCTCTCCATATCAAGTGGGGAGTGTAAAAAAAAACAGCTTGAATGAATAAGAAAAAAATAACCCATTGGTAATAAATATGTTTTATTATTTCTTCTCCATCTTTTTGTACGTAAGGACCGACTCCAGGATGTGCGATTTCTCTGCGATCGCAAAAAAAAAAAAAAAAAACTATTATTATAAATTAAATTTCTTTTTTTTTTTTTTTGCAGGTTTCTTCCGCTGTTGAAAAGGAATGAAGGAAGACAAACCTGTTGGAAACGGATCTGTTGTGATGTTTAACGACTGTAAACGTTCCCATGAAAAAACAAAATCTATCGATGACTTTTCCTAATTTGCTGTCGCCGTGTATGCATCTGAAAAACGGTAAGTGAGTAACATTTTATTTTTTTTTTTTGGAGGGTAGGGAAGGAAAAGGGTTGGTTGCGTTTGTTCCGATTGATATGGATTAGTGAATACGTACCTTATGTGTTCTCCAATGTATTCCTGAGAGGATAACAACGCGACACCGATGAGCAATAGCAAAACCGTTGCTCTGTAATGACACTTGAATATTAAATTATCGATGTGCACACGTTTGGGTTTTAAATTGACTAATTTTTGCGATGCTAAACTCCTTGCCAAATTTAACATTTTTTTAAAACAACCACAAACAAACAAACGAACAATCCGACATGAGACAACAACCGAGGGGGAAAACTGTGCGAAACGAAAATTTTTAACCGTTTAACTTACTCGATCGATAAAGAAGTAAATAATAATAATAATAATAATAATTTGTTTTCGATCGGCAGTGTCATCCAAAATTTTCTTTTTTTTTTTTTTTTTTTTTTTGTATAAAAAATTTTCCGAGAGGGATTCCCCCTCTCTCGGAAAATGCTCCCCGGTCGTTTTTGATTCGTACGAATTTTTCAAAAAATTTTTTTTCTTTCGTTTTCCTATTTTTTTTTTGAATTTTCCCGGGAATATTTAAAAAAAAAAAAAAGAAATTTAATTATTGATATTTTTTTATACATCCCTCGCCCGCAAGATTAATCTTAAAATCTTGATAAAAAAATTTTAAATTTTATTTGATAAAATTGCGGAAAATGTGAGACGATGATGATGATGATGATGATGATGCAGGTTGTTTTACAAACGTAAAAAAAAAACGTATTAAAAAAAAAAAAATTGTGTCGATAACTTATCATTCTTATCGATAAGAATTTTGTTCTTATCGATAAACTCTCGCAAAACTCAAAATGGTAGCTAAATATACTTTATCACTTAAATTAATTCTACTTCCACGTTTATGAAATTTTACAAAAAAATTAAAGTTTTTAAAACGACGATAGCAGCTACCTACTAGGTACTGCTTTTTCGATTTAATAAAAAAAAACACGATTTATTATTATTATTATCAACAACAAATTGTTTGTTCAGATTTTGAAAAAATGTGTAAAAGAAATTTTTTTTTTTTTGTTTTTACTCTTCGTCGTGGGTATTTTTCGGTAGTGCAAAGTTCGCGCAATAAAAATGAATTTAAAAAAATGAAATTAATTTTTAGCAACAAACAATCGTTTGTTTGTTTGTTTTGATTTTAAATGGTGAAAAAAAAAATAACGGTTGGTTGGTCGGTTTTTTTTGTCGGACAAAATTTTTTTACTTTTCATTCGAGCGTCGTTTTCCCAAGTGAAATTACAGGAAAAAAAAATTGCGAGGTGTTCGTCGGCCATTTTGTTTTTTTTTTTATTATTGAAAACTCAAAATTTAAATGACAAAATATCGAGAATGACGATAAATTTTTCGTTTGTTTTTGTTTTTATTGTTCCTTTCGGATGCTGCTCCGTGTTAATCATCTTATTAAAATAATTCGAATTTGATGAGTCAACCCCCCCCCCCTTTTTTTATTATTATTCAACGAATCCTTTCGCGTGTCAATCAATAATTTAAATATTATTCATTAATTATTATTACTATTATTATTATTATTATTATTGATCCTTTTAAATTATCATCTGAACAATGATTTTAGGAAAAAAAAAAAAAAAAATTAATCGTTTTTCTTTTTGTAACAAAGTAAAAGAACCGACAAAATGATTTAAGATGTTGCGAAATGACAGGAAATATTGTAAAAAGAGAGAGAGAGGGGGGTAGAGAGGGGGTAGAGAGGGGCAAAGAGAGAGAGAGAGAGAGAGAGAGATGAAAACTGGAATAAATAATTAATGGAGAGAAAACAAAAAAAAAAAAAATGAATAAATAATTAAATTTTTTTTTTTTTCGTTTTTAAGACGAATCAATATAAATTATTTTAAAATGAAGGACTATTCATTAATAATAATAATGATAATAATAATAATAATGATGATGATGATGATGATGATGATGATAATAATAATAATGATGATGATGATGATGATGATGATGATGATAATGATGATAATGATACGATAAATAAATTAATCGAAATAAACGAACGACTTGGGTGGTATAACAGAAACGAAATCGAATACAAAACAAAAAAAAAAAAATTAAAGCACCTAAAGAAGAGGAAGATTCTAGAAAATTAGGAAAAAAATTGTTTTTTTTTCGGTGGGAGAGGGGGGAAGGAGGGGAGGGGAAAGGGAAAGTCGACTTTTCGTTCAACGTGGAAGAAGACGAATTCGAGGTTTTTTTTTTTTTTTTCAAAAAAGAAAATAAATTCCGATGATTAAAATTTATTCGGACTTTGAACCAAAGTAAGTGAGTAACTAAAATAAAAAAAATTTATTTTCGAGGAAAATATTTGAGAAAATGCGTATTTTAAGGTACGCACTCTCACGCACGCACACGCACTCACGCACGCACAAACGCGAAAAAAAAAAAAGAAAAAGTGGGCCGGAAAAAAAAGAAAGAAAATCCGCTCCGATTATTATTTATTTATTATATAAAATAAAAAACCGAAATTTGCATACACAAGGGGGAGTGAGTGGGGAGTTCAATTACCCCTCATTTACTCCTTGAGGTCATTTTTTGAACGCCTTTTTTTAGTATGTTCAGACCGACGAAAAAAAAAAAAAACTGGAATTTTACTTTTTTTTTTTATTGCAAAGTTAAAACAAATCAACAACCAACGTTCAAACGAGAATTATCGCACAATCGACCGCAAAAAAAAATTTTTTTTTTCCAAAATAAAAAATCATCATTATCCTTAACCTGACAAATTTTTAATTACGTAATAATTATTAATCATCCTTATGTTTTTTATGGAAAAAAATTTTAAGGTTTTTTTCCAAAATTCCCTACAAATTCCGAGGTGGGTCAAATTTCCCTAAAACCCTGAATTTTTAAAAAAAAAAAAAAAAAAAAAAAAAAAAAAACCCGATACGTTTATCATCGTGTAAATCTTGCCGTTATTATTATTATTATTTGATATTTCCACGTGAGAATTTTTTTTTTTTTCGTTCCAGAATAATCGAATCGGGAACAAAATTTTTTTTTTTTTTTATCCCGAATTATTAAAGAGAAGAAAAAAAAAAAAAAACTCGACGTGTTTGTTCGTTTTCTCTCTCTCTCTCTTTCTTTAATTCCTTCTGCTTTGTTGAATTGTCAAAAAAAATAAAGGTCACGATATTTTCGATTTGAATGACTGAATGACTGAATGAATGAATCAAAAAAGAGAATGATTAATTTTAAAAATATTTTTATTATCATTATTATTATTATTATTAATTCATGTCGATGATGATTGTTGGTACGACACGAAAAAAAAAAAAAAATTCAGAAATGAAATAATCAAACGTGGCAGAAGAAAAATTTAAAAATGGCGAATAAAATGGCTTCGACAGGTGAAATAATAATAATCTGAGGAAAAAAGGGGGGAGAAAGAAGGAAGGGGGAAATCGAACGCGATAAATGTTTCAAAACATTTTACATTATTTACAATTAAATCCGATAGCTTAGTTAGCAGTAGACGTTTTTTTTTTTTTTTTTTCGAAACCGTTTCGAATTTCTACAACAGAATTAAAAAAAAAAAAAAGGAAAAATTTTGCTTTTCCAACTGATTTTCAACTTGAAACGAACCAAAAAAAGAATAAAAAATGGCGGATCGAATAAAATGTAATAAATAAAACGGGAATCGAATTACGAATTTTTTAAAAAATGTTTTCTTACTCTATGGATTAACGATGGGTCCCCGTTTACCTGTTTGTTAATAAGAGAAAGTTTAAGGTAAATAAATAAATGTTTTAATTAACGCTTTAAACGAATCAAAAATTTCAAAAAGAGAAGACAAAAAAAAAAGAAAATTTCTGCCACGTGATTAATTAAATATAAAATTCTAATGACACGAAAAAAAATTTAGTTCAAACAAACACGAAATTAAATATTAGTGGTAGGTTGTCGATGTAGTAGTGTATTATTAAAAGAAATTTTTTTATTTTTTTTTGGTTCATCTGGAATCATCTGGAATTTGTGTGTGTGTGCGTGTACATGATTTTCATTATCATCATTATTATTATTGTACGTGTGTCGGATTAAAAGGGAATCGAGCACACGCACACACGCACGCACAGTCATCTCACATACCTGACACGAATCCATTTTTTTTTTCCTCTTCTTCTTCTTCTGTTTCTAATTCGTTTCCGATTGATTCGAATTTTTTTTCTTTTCTTTTTCTTTTCTATTTCTTGTTTTGTTCTAGAATGAAATGGAAAAAAAAAGAAAACCTGGCGATTATATATATAAAAAAAAAAAAGATTTAACAAGTTAATTTAAATGTTGACGTTTTTTACGTATCGAATGATGATGAGATTGCATATATTTGTTACGTCATCTTTCCGATCCTTTTCCGAATGATTTTAAATGCGAGCGTGATAGAGAGAGAGAGAGAGAGAGAGGGAAAGGAAGAGGAAGGGAGACGGAGAGAGAGATGAAATGACGGGAGATGATGAAAAAAATTTAAACTCATCATTTAAACAAAAAAAAAAAAAATTAAATAACGATCAATTGATTAAACATTTTCAAATTTTAGTTGTTGTTTGATTTACTCGTTTTTAAATCGATTAATTTATTATTATTATTATTATTATTTCCAAACCGTTCGTGCGGACGTGCGTGAGTGGGGACGTGCGTGCGTACCTTAAAAAAAAAATTTGTGCGGCGTTCGTACCGCAAGTGATAACACAAAAAAAGGAAAAAAAAGGTCGTTAGTGATAAGAGGTGATAACGAGATGATAACGTCATATCTCTACTACTTTCTCTTCTCTCTCTCTTTTTTCTGACCGTTTACAACACGTTAAACGATTTCATTATTATTATTATTATTATTACTATTATCATTATCGCCACAAAGGTGTTTTTTTTTTTTTTTTGCAACTCGAGGCGTTAATGATGACGTAATTAATTATTGAGTTTAAATTTTTTAAATAGGTGCGTAAAAAAAAAAAAAAAACCGAATAATTAATTTTATTTATTGGTCGCCATTTGCCATAGTGTCGTCGATATCGATCGATATTTGTTTTTTTTTTTTTAAACGACTCACATCGATTAATTATCGATTATCGATTTTTCGAAGTATATATTTTGTCGTTTGTCGTTAATTTTTTTAAAACAAACATTTTGTTATTGTTTGTCGCCGAGAAAAATAATTTAATGAGATAACGTGAAAAAAAAAT